TCATTCCTCAAATTTCTTGGCAAAAACAGCCACAAAAAGATTGTGACCATATTTATGCATTTTTTCCTTGTTATAGCTCGATAATTGGACTTGGACTATTCCCAAACAAAGAAATTCTTGTTTCTTAATATTTGATTCCATCCATTGCACAATTCATTGTTAAACCGTGCCAAAAAAAAAAAAACCATGGTTTACCAAATGAGCTGCCAGCACGTTTTCAGACATTTAAGGATTTAACAAACATTTTTTTTGACCAAGTGTTACAAGATAACATTATACAAATATTGTAACCATTTCTTATAATTTAAAAATTCCTCTCTTGACTTGAGATGCCATAAGTTTGTGACAATCACGTTGACACTATCAATTATTCTAAAGCCTTAAACCATATGAGGGCCATACACTTTGAAGTCAATTAGGCAATTCACTTTGTACAGTAATTTACAACTTTGAGCATAGTTTAGGCCAACAGCCATGGCAGATCTTCATTTATCGTGCTTCAGCTTCTTCTTGGTAATGGCAGTAGTAGGCAACGCAACCGCATCGTATATTAGCAAAACCCTAAAGATAAAATAACTCCCCTAAAAAAAACTTCAAAGGGCGTCTTTATAATATTTTAAACTAGAGTAGAGTATCTCCACATTTCTCATTTATCTCTCGTGAAAAAAATATCGTAGGAGCGAAATTTCGGCATATGGACTGACCGGGCCATGCATGTCCTATGAAAATGGTGGTTGCGATTGTCTATTGGGAGTGGAGGAAGGGGTGGGAGCAGGTGGAGAAAGATAAAGTGTTTTTTTTTTTTTTTTCATTTCTATTTTCCCCATTTTCTATATTTATTATGCGAGTAAAAAATAAATGTAAAATTATCTTTTAATAAAAAATGATTTTCTAGTAAATCATCCACTCGGACCTCATTGCCACAAAAGTGAAAGGTTAGAAATTCCAAGTGCTATAACTAGAAATTCCAAATTATCGGGCTGCAATTTGATAATATTCAACTTTTAAAAAAGTGTATATTTTACATAGGATACCTAATAAACTATACATGATAAATTCCAAGTGCTATAACTAGAAATTCCAAATTATCGGGCTGCAATTTGATAATATTCAACTTTTAAAAAAGTGTATATTTTACATAGGATACCTAATAAACTATACATGATCTTATTTTATAGGATATGCTTAACATGGTTTTCAAATATACTAATTCCTTGATTAATATACATAAACATACCCCAATCCATATTTTTTTAAAGGCTCTTTCATCTAAACCAAACAATCAAGTCGAACTCGATCATACCATAATAAACTGTTCAAATTTAGAGTAGTTCGAGAACTAGCTTTCTATTTTTGTCAATGCAAATATCTTTTTAGGTCAAATGGTAAAATAAACCATGGATACAATTCCAATATTTAATCAAAAATAGAAAAAAGAAAATGAAAAGTGAACATTTTTTATTTCTCTCTATAACTTGATCTTATTTAGGGAAAAAAAAATTCCTCTAGCATAAATGAAGTAAATATGGTTTTCCTATTTTATATTATCCAGTTGAAACAATGATACAACCTAATTTATGGCACTTAATCACTCCTTAATTTATTTTATACAACCTAGAGTTCCAATGATACAAAAAAGAAGATTTCACTAAGGTAACCCGTCTAGCATAAATGATGATAAAAGGTGAGGCAATCAACCCAACATAAGTTGAAGGAAGAAAACATAGCTATGGAGATTAGCTAACTAATGGGCAACATGATTCTCAGTACTAAGGCTTCGTTTGGCATGATTTTTGAAAAATTAAAAGAAACTTTTAAGATTCAAAATCTATTTTTTGACCTGTTTAGCTAATTTTATAAAATTATTTTTTTTAGTTAAAAGAGTTTTTAGAGGAAACTGATTCAATGTGGCTTACTAAAAAGTAATTTTGGAATAGAAAACTTTTTTAAGAATTAGTTTCCAAACAAAAATGAAGGTAACTTCGTCCAAAAACTTCTCTACAAAAATTATTCCAAACGGACCCTAAGAGTGAAGTGACAAAAACCACAATTAAGCTCGTATACTGAAACTATTATATTAAAATAAGTAGAAGCATTATTCGCCAACCTAAAATCACTTTGCAAACACTGAACAACTACTCGAAGTTCATTCCTCAAATTTCTTGGCAAAAGCAGCCACAAAAAGATTGTGACCATATTTATGCATTTTTTCCTTGTTATATCTCGATAATTGGACTTGGACTATTCCCAAACAAAGAAATTCTTGTTTCTTAATATTTTGATTCCATCCATTGCACAATTCATTGTTAAACCGTGCCAAAAAAAAAAAACCATGGTTTACCAATTGAGCTGCCAGCACGTTTTCAGACATTTAAAGATTTAACAAACTTTTTTTTTGACCAAGTGTTACAAGATAACATTATACAAATATTGTAACCATTTCTTATAATTTAAAAATTCCTCTCTTGACTTGAGATGCCATAAGTTTGTGACAGTCACGTTGACACTATCAATTATTCTAAAGCCTTAAACCATATGAGGGCCATACACTTTGAAGTCAATTAGGCAATTCACTTTGTACAGTAATTTACAACTTTGAGCATAGTTTAGGCCAACAGCTATGGCAGATCTTCATTTATGGTGCTTCAGCTTCTTCTTGGTAATGGCAGTAGTAGGCAACTGATTCAATGTGGCTTACTAAAAAGTAATTTTGGAATAGAAAACTTTTTTAAGAATTAGTTTCCAAACAAAAATGAAGGTAACTTCGTCCCAAAACTTCTCTACAAAAATTATTCCAAACGGACCCTAAGAGTGAAGTGACAAAAACCACAATTAAGCTCGTATACTGAAACTATTATATTAAAATAAGTAGAAGCATTATTCACCAACCTAAAATCACTTGGCAAACACTGAACAACTACTCGAAGAGAGACATTTTGCTACCAGAATAATGTTAGATGGAGACCCTCTCTAAGTGTTAATGAACCACAATTTTAATGAATTTTGTTCTTAAAGAATCAGTGTTTTGGTTATGAATACTTATTTTGATTCTACAGTTTTCACACACTCCCATCTCTCTCACAATATGTATTTATTTCAATTACGATACTATATAAATCAAATTAAATTCCGAAAAAAATATGAAAATGGAATGGGTGGTACCAGCCCAGCCTGAAATATTAGCAGGACCGCAGGCTAGGTCGGTCCTCAGATTTGGAAAATATGGCTCTTACGTCATGTAACTCCAGAAGCTATTGAATACAATATCTACAATCGGGATTGGAATCAAAGATTAAAGTTAGTAGGCAAATAAAAGCTGAACGAGCTCTAATTGCTGATTATCAAACATAGTCACGAAGATTTCTTCTCTTTCAAAGGTCCACAATCTGGTAAAACTGAGGTCAAAGGCACTGGTAGATTCCTTGCAGAAGAGATCATGGCCTTCCTCAAACGGTTGATTACAACCTTTGCCATCCCATCAATTTCCTCCTCATATTGCTCGTACACAAAGAACGACGTGAATGCAATGACTAACGCTGTCATTATTTAACCCGTATAAAAATGATCAGTTCATTGTTTAGAGTAGCATTAAGCATCACTATGTCGTAATTTAAAATTCATACCTATGCCAATGGCCATGGTCAAGAAATGTGGAACAATCAACTTGCTGAAGTAGAAGAAAGATGATACCTGCATCAATTGGAAGATGTTAAAATGTCTGCAAGAATTTCGAATTTGAGATCAACTAATACAATATTTTCTCTAATAATAAATGAAAAACTTGCGAGCATCCAAAATGAGGGAAAATGACAGTTATAATAAACAGATAACACAGTCTCTTAGCATATAACGATTCAATATTATCATATAACAAGTGTGCATATCATGTAAAGCATCACTAAACTCACGAATGCTTGACAATAAATTTCCAACTATAACCCATTTTAAAGCATTTGGAAGTAACTAAAACCAACAATGCATTCTTTCTTTTTTCTTTTTCTTTCTTTAAACTGAAACGTGGTAATTTAGTCATCAGCTAAATCAGCAAGTTCTACACGTCATGATGTTTGGAAAGTTTTCAAGCCAAACCACACCTCCAGCTCTTGGCATAAACATGACAGGCACTTGTGCTGGCTACCTGATTGAAATTCAGTCTAACAAAATTACAAACTAATGAAGGAAAAAATAGCATTACATTAGAAATACTATTTGAAAGTGCTCCCTCATCTGCCTGAAGTTATGGATTATTGAATGCCGCCAATCCATTAAGATATTATCATGTTCTTAACCTGACTAATATGTAATAGCCAAATTCAAGCAAAATATTTCGTAACACTATTGACAGGGTACTAAATGACGACCCAAATATCCTGCATGAACCTTAATATTAAGTACCAATACTGTGGAGAGAGAGTAAATCGGGGGAACAATATGTGATATTGCTTTCCAATATATACATGACCATAGATGGGAAAGCCAAAAATTAAGGCTCGTGCCATATAGAACTTTTTGATATGCTCTTCAGTTGGTCGATAGGGTGGAGGGAGGATAGTAGTCAAACGAAGTTACAAGTGATATTCTAATGGTCAAACATAATGCATTTGCAATATCTTTGGGTAATATAAAACTGTCAACGGATAAGTTGGAGCTTATTCCTCTGTTCTTGGAATCCAAAATAAAATAAAACAACAGTAGCATTTTTAAGCAGATTCTTGGAATAATTTCTCCGTTTAATTAAGCATGCAAACAGGTTTGAAAGGTAGTGTCAAGGTATCATGTCGAGGAAAGGCACTAGCCAATCACCTGAAGACTACAAGCATCTTTGAGCATGCTCCTCTCGAAAGAAGGAAACTTCTCAGTACCCAATGATTTACGGCATAAGCCAAAGTCTAGTTTTATTTCCAAGGCTTTTGATCTCACAGTAAACCAAGTATAATTACACTTTTTAAAAGTAACCACAATACATGCAGGTAAACAACGAACATTGAATAATTATGCAATGACAAAACTATATTAGTCAAGAAATAATACTACACACTTCATCAATAAATCAATGCATCATAAAAAAATTCACTCTTTTATATAACAAATCTGTGATGTTGTGTGATTGTTTTATCAAATGTGTCACCCTGAAATCATCATTTCAATGCAACAAGTATCAGTACACATTCAACAACTTACCTCGTAAGGAGTATATACCCAATCCCACAACAAGATGAGTTTTAGTTGACCAAGGACAGATTATCAAATAACCTCCGTAACACATTTTGAAATAAATTTCATTGAATGAGTACCTTCAAGAAAGTGCACCAATCTTCTCCGTGGGCCAATAACCTTGTTACAAGACTCAGTTCATTCCACATACATGTCATGGCCAAAAAGGAATTTCTCATATCAACTTTTGAGACTTGAAAACAAGTTGATGATACTCTAGGAATTGTGAATCCACATCTGTAGAAATTATGTTGTAGTCAGTGAAGCAAATATTTTTAAAGAAATAGATCAAAATAGAAATAAGATTAAAATGGAAAATGCAATTTTTTAACTCATTCTTATACATATGTGTAAAATCAGGTTTGCACACACAGTAGATAACTGATACCATGTTACTTGGGATAGCATGTTAATGAACAGAACAGAAACAAAGATAACCTAATCCATTATTCTGGATGCTCACATAGAATGGTTTACATTATAAAAATGAATAGTAAAATAAATCCCCAAAGCCAGAACATATGAAAAAAAGAGAAACAGAAATTGCCCAATTCCAACTGAGAAGAAGAGTAACAAGTTGAAGTTTTCTCTTCTTTCCACTAAAAGACTTTAATCTCCCTGAAGAACTGACCGAGCAGAACATTATGAAAACAAGCGAAGACATCCATCTAAAGACATAATAGCGTCATCATCTACCAAAGAAAATCTCAATGGCCATACTTACATATTTGCTGGTAGCATACAATATCCACAAAGCGAAACAGTAATCATCATCAGAAGCTTAGCAGCTGAAGTTATAAATGTCCTCCCAGAAAGGAAAAACCAATAATAAAGCAGAGTAAGCAAGAGGAAACAGATAAATGTTGTCTTCTCATCTCTCCACAGCAGAATATCTGCAACTGCAGTAAGGTAATATAATGTCATACTGAGATAAAAATAGAATGCTTTACTTAATTATTCTTTTTCTATAACATCAAAAAGGAGTGAAAAAAACTCAACAGTAGCATTCAGACATTTCAAAATATGCAGCTGATAGATTCTACTTGTATTTTCCTTGATACATATGTGCCTTTTGATACTCGTATGTTGAGGCCATGAGGTTCAGTTTTGTATAACCAACTGTCAAGGATAATGGCAGCAATGTCTTGTATATACATATTCAAAATGGGAATGCTGATGACTTTGGCTAACTGCCTAAATCTCTCCCTGACAACAATTGCGGTAAATTGAGTTGCATTACAACACAATTTTAAATGCTGTGATAGCACGATATTGATTCAGGTCATCATAGCTTCTTATACACATAAAGATATAGACCCTCAAGATCAAACATATCGAGTCCAAATGGGGTTATGTTGCCAACTTTACATGCTTGAGCTTATAATTAATTCTGTAATTTAAGAAATGTGAGATTGCAAAAATAATGATAAGATACAGCACCCTGAAAAAATCACTAACCTTTCCCACTGCCTAACAGCTTATCTACTTTCGATTGCTCATCAGGGTCATTGTATCTCCTCAAAGGCGAATCAACAGTTAACGCAGCAGCACCTTCCTGTGTCACAATTTCTATATTTAACTGTGAAGTCAAGATTATGAAAAGATCAGATCTTCTCCCTAGAGTAATTTTAATCCATGAAGAGACGCCCCTTCCATTTGGCACAGTTGGATCACAGGGAAAGATTTTCTTGGGACAATTAGGAAATCCCAGATAGAACTTCCACAATAGCAGAGTAGTTTGAAAATATTAAGCAAAGTGCACTCAAATCCAATTTCAGCATCACTCTTTACTTTCACCCAAAAGATTCATAAATGAATGAACTCAACAACTAAGCCAATTAAGGATAACTGAAACCCTCCACTTCAATATCTAATATATATTTACTAAGTCAGAATTGCCCAATGAAGTCCCCCAAGCGCGACAAAAATTGAAATTCAAACCACAATGTCAATGGAAAGGGGAAAAAAGAAGAATTCAAGTTCACTTTGCTTATTTGATGTAATAAAACCACTTGGTGAAGAATGGTGGTCAGCAGTAGTAGATGGCAGTGGTTTACAGGGATGGTGTTGGCAGCCTAAGCAAAGATTATACATTACGTTATGAAGACTTTGTTGCAATCCAAAAAGGACTTAGACGAAAATAAGTCGAAAGGCATACTCAAATGGCATAAAATATTTTCACAAAAGATTTTTCTGAAATTGCAAGACATGAAGACTTTATTGCAATTCAAAAAACAATTGAGATGAAAAAAATATTAAATGTCATCCCTCAAATAGTCAAATGGCTAAAAATATTTTTCACAAAATATTTTTTAGAATTGCAACAGAGTTTATTCATTGCAGAATGCCATATGCCGAAACTGTAGGAACTGAAATAGCACAGTAGCTCATAATTTTGATAAAACTAAGGCTACATCTCACTCTCTCTATCACACACATGCACATATATATATGCATTCAATCAACATACACATCCCAGATACAAGAGCACCCTTCATCATTGTATTCAAAAACCACCTATATATGAGTGTGTGTGTGTGTGTGTGTTTATATATATGCCAATTCTCAGACAAATTGATATCCAATCCACGTAGATGTGTTTACAGAAACTCCATCAACAATGATTTTTCTGTCTGTATTATGTTTCTCTTTCTTCTACTGAAATCAATGTTTGTGCTTCTATTTCTGAGTCGAGTGATCAATCCTAGATTTGGAAAAACGGAGAGGATAAACTTCTCAACAAATAGGAGTTGGAAATGCTGCCTAAAAATCTCACCTGGCAATTGTGTTCATTATAAGGAACTCTTCAAGTTAGGTTTATACAACATATATATGCATACACCTTAAGGAACTTGCAAATTTAATGTGTATTCAAGTCTATAATTACTGTTTCAATTGATATTTGAGGGATCATTTATATAATGGGTATGTTACATGCATTGCCTTCAAGCAGCTGTCTTTAACCTCAACATGACCTGGTGTCACGGGCAGCAGCTTTACTTAAGTCCCGTGACGCTATCGCAGCCGCTGCACTTCGGCTGCACCTTGTAAATATTTCATTTAATTGTAAAATAGTTAGAAATTAGAAAATTTTAGTATGATTCCTCGGCCAAAAGACGTCTACTGGTGTCATTTGGGTTTTTGTTGCTAAATCTATTATAGGGGGTATTAGTCTTTCAAAAATCTTTCAAGCTTTCTAGTGTTCACCCCCTGCACTAGCCATTGTAATTTCCTGCTTTCAATCAATTGTAATTTTAAGCTTTCTAACAATCAATGATCAAGTTTAATTCAATGCATTTCAATTTCGTGTTGTAAGCTTTCTTTAAATTGTGATCAAATTTACTTTCGTCCTGGAACGATCTAGAAAAAGCGGAAGGTAGTCTAGCGGAGCAGACTACTGCCACACGGTGTCCCTTTCTATGCTAAGAAGAAAGGTAACCCGTGAAACCTGGACAAGTCACAATTCAAGTTTCGGTATGGTCTGAGATCCTCCTCAGATCTAGTTGGTGACTCCAAAAATGAGCAAGCAAGAGTATGATCAGGAAAAAAAAAACATAAATAAATTAAAAATAAGAAATAAATTAATTAATCTCTTTTATTAAAAGAGACTTTATATGGAACATCTAGTTTCGAACTCGGATACTTACTTCCAAGGAAACAACCGGTGAGTATCCAAGATGTGTCACAGCTGCAGAACAGTTAAATGTCCTTGTGCGTGAAACTAATTTAGCAACATCGTAAACCCACATGCATCGCTCAATCTTTCCAAAGTTCAATTTCATGAGTGTAAGCTTCACAAACAAAAAGAGGTAGTGAATCATCCAAGCAGGAAGATTGAAAATAGGCCTGCAACCACATTAGAAGAGAATATAATTTATTGCAGCTTTCCGCAAGCTAAAAATTACTAATAATCTGCTGGTGGAAAAATAAAAAAACGCAACACCAAATAAACTAAAACTATTTGCAGGCAACATAAGCAGTCAATCAGCAAAGGAAACAAACAACCTGCACCTCAATATTGAAGAGAAGGAAGTGGAGGGGAATAAATAGGTCAAACAATCTCCACAACTCATCATGGACTTGGTAATATAATGCACGTAAATAGTAACTGAAAAGGATAAAATACATATAACAGGATGAAAGTGGAGAATGTGGATAACAAACATGTGAAATATACAAGGAGAGAAGAAATTATGTCTGTTATTTTGTCGAATAAAAAATTCTTACTGTTTTCCCTTGAAAAGCAATTTTTTTTTTTTTTTGGAAGTATAATATTTCTAGTTTCTACAAAGTTGAAGGATATGGAACAGCAAAAGTTCCTCAAGAAATTGACCCTACTGAATATTTATTTACAATCACAAAATTTTTTTTGAGGCCTTGTTCCCCAATTCTGTCGTGTATCAACAAATTAATGGAACATGTTCGTGCCTTCTCTTGCACTATGATTTCGCTTGAGAATTATATTAATGGGAAACCATGTTTGCTAATTTTGGAGAAAATCTAGTTTCCTTCTTGGGCCCTTAAAAGAACTTCCTCATGAAATTTAGGGATAGGAAAATATTGATCAGATGCACTGTGATGAAAATTACTCCATATATTTGGCTTTAGAGAAGTGACATAGGTCTCAAGAACTTGCACCGGTTATAAATTGGGACACACTATTATATGTTACTCTAGTTTAAAAAGGCATAATGGGGTACCGAGATGTTTTATGAGATGAGGTGTACTTAAAATATATAAAATACAAAAATATCCTTAATATAAACCATAAAGCATCTTAAAATATCCATAATATGTAAAAAATTTAAAAAAAAAAAAAAGGAAGCCTAACTTGCAAACAAAAACAAAATAGATTAATAAAGTATCAAATAATAAATTCTCAAGTTAGTAATGTGATAAAGACTCAATAGGTGGAACATAAATAGAAAGTTGTTGTGTGTAATAGAATTTTATTGAATAATGGAAAGATATATTAAAATAAAGCTATCTAGCACCAGTGGTGCTAGAACACCAGTTTATGTGGCATTATATGATAGATTCAATTAAATGCGAAATTATGTAAGTCATTTAATTGAACCGGTCATTTAATGTCACTAGTCTTGCCACTAAAACTAGAGTTAAACACCAGTAGTGTTAAATAGCACTACTCAGATTTTATTTGTAATTGTGGTATAAACTGGAATTTAATTACAAAAATGGCACGTTTACGAGAGACATACCTCTCTTCTTCATTCTCATTATAATTATAATGGGATCCTCAAGAAAATCATAACATCCTCCTCGTCATCGCAATAAGTTTTTACTCATTCTCTATCATTGTCCTCCCCTAGCTATCATGTATTCTCCTTCCCCTTTCCCTTTCCCTTTCACGTCTCTACTTTTACATAGAAAAAAGAAAATAAAAAGGACTTCCACTTCCCCTCTGTATTTAAACAGAAAAAAATAAAAAAGACCCGTAAACATACTTGGATTATAAAGAAATAGCCCAAAAATCTAAGGCCACTAACAAAATGTCCAAAAAACACAAGAAAGGGTAAACGTTTTAGTCCCGTGAGGCAAAAGCCCCACTAAGTCAAGGTGTAAGCCTCACGAATGTACCAAATGTGCCTCAAAGTGTAGGCTTTGAAGCATTTTATGAAGGCCTCACGTATCGGTATTTGAGGCATAAGCCTTAAATAGCTTTTTTAAACAATAGTCTAGTGTTTAAAAAACATAATTGGGTATTGAGGTGTTTTCTCGCTCCTCTCCGTAAATTAGAAAAAAAATGTCAATAAAATTGTTAAAATGCAAAGTAGGAGCATAATAAATCATAAAAAGTCTTGAAAATTCATAATATTCCTAATAGAATAATTTAAAATGTGCAAGCAAATGAAAAATCTATAAAGTAACAAAAAGAAACTATTACTTTAGTTGGTGAGTCATCGATTATTCCAAAAGTGGGTCTATGAGAAATACAGTTTTTAAACGTTTTAAAAATAGCTAGTGGGGCAGTATCAATCAAAATTCTTAAAGTTTTGTGGCCTACACATAGAGCAAAGTTACTAAATTTGGAGAATTGAGTAGCACAGCATCACAAGCCTTCAGGTGTGTGCCTCACTCAAATGAGGCATGCACCTCCATAAACAACCTCAAAATTAGGGCCTTGAGGCATTTTTTGTTCGCCTTACTCCGAGGCAGGCCTCAATCGAGATTTTTTAAACAACGTTAATGCCCAATCAAGCAGCTCAAACTCTTGTACTTCATGATACATTCATCGGAACAGTTAGCAGAGGTCTCAGTTTGAATTTATAAATGCGCAATAATGATATAATCAACATATAAATCAGGTAATTGATGGATTTGCAAAATAATCATCCAAGGAATAATTAATATTTTTTATACTCCAAAAATTTACCATATCAAGTAACCAGAATGAGGTTCGATACCTCTGATAACCAAAGCTCTCCAATATGAGAGGTACCAAATCCCTCACCTTCATGGGTTCAAGATTCGTGATGAAAAAGACCTACAAAAATGTCAACCATAGGTAGACTTTCCCAATTCTTGAAAGAAAAGTGACAGCAAAAAATCAGTACAGGAACAACTAAAATACCTTTCCAGACGTAGAAACCATCTGAGAACTTAGAGATTCTTCGGCACAGATATGAGCATGGGCAACATTATCCACATAGGTGAAGTCTGACATATTCTCACAACTTCCTATAATAAACTGAAAAGAGAGAGCCTGTGACTTATACAAAAAGAGTGTGTACATGGGGTGCTGGACTAGAAATTCTAAATGCAGCAAAAACGACAAACAAGGTAGCAATGATGAAAATTACAATGAGAAACAACATTTATTTCACTCTACATTAAACAGAGTGTGAAGAGTTATTTTACATGAAATATGTCAGAGAGAACCGTGGAAAAATGTCAATGAAAAGGCCAGTATATCAACAGTACACATGTTGTCAGTGAAAGTAAAGAGCAATAAAAGATTTTTCAAAATACTGTACCATAATTAACCAAAACCTGAAATATATAACATGAAATAGTTATTAAACCTTGGCCCAGCTGGAGTTTGCCATACTGATAAGTGATGGCATAAGTTGATTATCTCTAGGTCCAAATACATTGGAAGGACGAAGTGCACAAGTCAAAAGACCATCAACTTTGTTTGCAAATAAGACCATTGCCTCTGCTTGAGATTTAAGGTCAGTGACCATGTTCTCAAACTGTTTCAAAGCATTTAAACAGAGGAGTGAGAGAGAATCTTATAAATGACTAGCAGAGAGTAGGAAAGAAGCAAAATCTCAAGCTTCTCAGGTCAGAAACATACATGGTTAGGGTATGGCAATGATTCTTCTACATTACATAAATCACGTGAACTGTCAAAAACTACATCAGCAGAACTGTTGTATATAAGATGTTTAACTTTACATTCTCGACAAGCTTTGAGTACATTTTTGGCACCTGAAACGTGGAGGCAATAGGAATATTAGTATAGGATGAAAAGCAAAATAAAATCTAACTGGCCACTGCATCATAATACCTATTTCAATGAAGAGAAATTACCTTGAACAACAATTATATAGCAAGAAAAGAAGTCTCGAGGGAATGAAACCATAGATTCAGTATAGAATACAACTGACACACCTTCCATAGCTGCATAGAGAAAATATTATATTACTGAACACATTCCACATTGTACTAGATGTCAAAAAGGCTCGACTAGTAGGTTCGAAAGGAATATCAACATTACAAAAATATGCTTATAATAAACCATAAACCATCTTTAAAGTTCATAACAAATTGCAAACAATCGTAAAATAGATCAATAAAACAAATAATACATCGCAAATAAGTAATCACATAATCTACTACTAGAAGTAGAAACAACCTAGATATCCCACATATCATCACTATTAATAGGATATTTACGAGAATCAACATATTTGATTCCCTTGTCATCCTCCTTATCACTATCGGTCTCTTCTCATTCTTTGTCATCATCTGCCATTTGCAATAATACCTTCATCTTCCTCTTCCACTTCCCCTTCAGAAAAAATGAAATCAAGAAGCCCACGAAATGTTCTAGGCTATAAAAAAAGAGCCAAAGAGTTAAGAGTCGAGGACAGTAATACAAAGCCTAGAAAAACTTAAAAAGTAAAGCAAACGAGTGCGTATCCAAGACATAGTTATTGTGAAAGGTGGTTATATTGCCACCACAATTTTTATTTGAAACACCACATTTTAATTGCAGTTAAGCTCCTCAATCTTTATTCGTCGTAGCAACTATTTCCTTAACGTTTTCCATCAAGTTCTTATCTTCAACTTTCCATTAATTAGTACATCTCGTCCTTGATTATAATTAATATCAAAATATGTTGTTTTTATACTTTGAAATGAAGTGAAAATATTTTTTCACACTTTTTTTTTTTTTTAAATACGATGGAAAAATAAGTTATTTTCCATCAATTCAACGGACTTTTGAACATAAAACTATTATCAAATACAAAATATGTTAATTAATGGAAAGTTTGAGTATAAGAATGACATAAAAAACCCTTAGAAACATAAGTGCAATAATGGGAAAAGATTAACAACCTTAAGTACAATTAAACTACGGTGCAAGAAATAAAAATCATGGTGTGAATATAATTACCGAACAATAAATGATATATGTAGATGTATATGTGGTGAGATATGATTTGATCAAAATTTCTTCTAAAAAAAAAAACCGGTCCCACACCTCATCTGTCTTTCAGTAACTCCTTATGTGCAGGTATTCATGTTACACCTTACTTTGAAGCATGAATTCTTTTTTTTTTTTAATTGCAATTTTCAATTGAATCTCAAATAATTGAATATCAGATATTCACAATACGGTTACAAAATAAAGTCCATTGTATCACACGCGTCACAAATACAAAAATGCAAATCTAGATATTCAACTTCATACCCATTTTACTGAATTATTTAAATATATATGCAAATAGATATAAAATGTTCATCAATGTATAAATGAAGAATTACATGCCTTTGATGATCTGCGGTTTATCCCGAACATCAACATGGAAATAAGAGGCTCGAGCAGAGGAGAATGCTTCGGATAGAAGCAACTCAGAGGGCTCTAGTTGGGGAGACTGATTGTAATCTGCGACTCGGACGATCCAATTTCCGAGTTTCAGCAGCCTCTCCACCAGCACTCGGCCTATGAATCCTCTGCCTCCCAACACCAAGCACGTTTCCAATACCTCGGAATTACTGCCACCATTTTCCGTTGCCATATTCGAGTTTATTTGATTCGGATATCATATAATAGATAGAGCAAAAAGGAAGAGATGGGAAGAGATGGCACAGTGATGGCGCAAAACTCAAAAAGGGTTTTAATTGGGTGGGCCCGTCAGTCAAATGCGTAGATCATACGAATTAGGTGGCCGGTCGGTCCACTGCTCCAACCACCTGCATCTTTAGGTAAACTTTTGGAAACATTGCAACGGAGGTCCCCAAATCTTTTATTTTTACGATCGCAATCCCAAATCTTTAACTTTCATTGCAACTGGAGTCCACTTAACAGATTCCATCCACTTATCTTTTTACCCTTAAATTAAATGTTTGACTCAATTTAACAAAATAAGTGAAGGGTAAAATAGTGAATTTACATTTTCTAAAATAGAATAATTAAACAAAAAAAAATGTGTGTATTCTTCGAACACCCCCAGCATCAAAACCCAGGAAACCCAGCCATCACAGCCCATCGTCACCCATCTACCCAACGTCCGACTGTCCATCGTAACAATTGCAAACACCACCAACAACGACCCAAATCTCAAATAACACAATTACTCAAATCCAAAAAAATTTAAAACATTTGCACTCTAACAACCGACCAACTCACCAAAACTCACCGACCCAGATCCATTTCCACTTCCACAACCTTCTAGAACCCCTCGTTGTATACATATGTAATCTCACTCCACCATTTCCAATACATTTCAAGAAAATCCCCAAAATAATATTGGATTGAGGGAAAAGAGAGAATTTTTTAGCCAAAATGGGAGACGCCGATGTATGAAAATAATTGGGTATTCAATATATGGGAATGTTTTTTAACTGGAATTGGTGCTATTTGCTCCTTTGGAGTTGCGGCCGCCACTGTTTCCATAATCGTCTTGGGGAGTAGCGACAACAAAATCAAAAGCTTCAGTTTCAAATCTATACCCCCCATCGATAAGGATGAGGAAGGATTTAGCATAACTGAAATGGTTTTGAAAGAGGTGGAAGAGGAAAGATGAGGAAGGCGATGCCAATGGAAAATAAGTTTGTCATGTAGCTTGTAGGAGCTGGACAAGGAGTTCGACGACGATGGGTGTTGTGACGATGGGAGAAGCGACGACTAATCGGAATCGGTGTGAGCAGGAGGCGATAATGGGGGTTGTAGAGGTAAAAGTGATGGATTTGTTCGATTGAAGGTGGGTGTAGCTGCTAGTAGTGTAGCAGTAAAAATAAAAGGTTAAAGGGTATTTTGCAACAAGATGAAAGGTTTGGAACCTCCGCTGCAATTTTCCCTAAACTTTTTCATTTTACAAGTTTTCTCTTTTTCTATAATCTGAAAACCTTTACCAAATATAAACAGAAACAATTGAACAATAGATTCTGTTAATGTCGAAAATTGTATGAACAAAATTCAAGTCAACTTAAAATGTAAATAAGAATTTTATTGATAATGATTTGTAAATTACAATTGTAATTACAAGTGTTTGCTCTTTTTTCTCAAGAAGATATTTGAAATATGAAGTGTTTAGAACTTTTTTTCCATTTTTCTTCTCCGAGACTCTCATTCTTCCTTTTATGGGGAATGGTTAGCATGCATTCTTCATTTTCTTATCTTAGGCCTTGTTTGAGCCACTTTTTGTAGAATGAGAATGAAAAATATAGTCGTTATTAGGGCCCACACAAGAGATATAAAATTTGAATTTAAATGTTGATGTGATGGATAACGGTCATATTTTTCATTTTAATGAGAAAATAAGGTGGCCCAAACGGGGGCTTATCAGTTACAGTACCGAGTTAAGGAAGTACATCATTGGCATGTTTGGATTGGTTATTGAGCTCGACTATGTCAGGTCATTATGAATTAACTTTACATGTCGTCCCCAACAATTAATGAACTAATTAGAGAACGAAATTAAGGCATTTGATTGGTGGAATTGGTAGGCGATGATTTAAAACCTTTCAAATGTCACTTGTTGATTGATTATTTGTACAATGTATAAGAAATCTTCAGTTATTATATCCCCCTCGAACTTCACCAATAACTAATACGAGCTAATCTCAAATATCCGCTTAAATTAGTATGAGCTTAATTCATACAACAAACTATACTTAACGATCTCGAAGGTCGGAAGTCAACAGATTCTGTAGATGGTAAATTCTACAACTGAGAAAATCGGATCGATCGGACTACCAGCAAATTTGCTAAACTCAAGAAAAGTAGAACGAGGAAAGAGGATCGCAAAAGATATTAAGAGGACACCGATGTGATGTCGATCAAAGATTTTCCAACGGTCAAGTCAGTAAAGCTTATCAAGAATTATCCAAATGCTAGGTAAAAAGTAAGAAGAAATAACTTAGAGTAGAGTAAATTAGGATTGAACGTTTGACTAACACGGAATTTATAGGAGTGGGATAACCGTTTAGGCAGGATTGGCGAGGATTCTGCACGATTTTATGGTTAGTTGAAGCTAAATCTAATTAGATCTATTTGGTTGACATATCCAAGCTATTTATAGATAACTCCTACTTGATCTGGTCAAATCATAACGTGATTTATCTTGAAGATAAATTATCGGAGGTTTCAAATTGACACATGGGTCTTGGACTGTGCATTCGGAATACGTTCATATCTGCTCTTGTAATGTGATTTTGCTTGATAATAATATTAATCGGAAATCATGTTTGCTAATTTTGGAGAAAATCTAGTTTCCTTCTTGGTCCTTTAAAAGAACTTCTTCCTCAAGAAATTTATTTTGGAGCAATCATAGGAAAATATTGAGAAGATGCACTTTGATGAAAATTACTTCATATATTTGCTTTAGAGAAATGACATGGTTCTGAAGAACATTTGGGATGCAGTGTTATACGTTACTCTAGTTTAATCGGGTACCAAGGCGTCTTATTAAGAGTGTGTTTTGTAGAGATTTTTGAGGGAAGAATTGATTTTTGAATAGTGATATGATGAGGAATGTGTGGTTGAAAAAGAATATAAAATTATTAATGTGCTGGAAAATATTATTTTATTGAAGAATGTGTGGTTGAAAATGAGAATTGATTTACTGTAGGAAATGAAAATCTGTACCAAACATGCCCCTAAACAATTTTCATATCATCACTCTAAGAAGTACAGGCACATAAATGAGATTGCTCATCTACTCTCTGTTTACTCCCTAAAACCGACTACTAATGCGCACGCCGGAGGTACAACGGGGGACAAAGCCCCGACCTCATTTTGCAGGTAACATTCGTTGATTTGAGCAACCGGAACACCCCACACGTCATCATCATCGTGGAGGTAAATTTTGTGATTATTTCAGTAAATAAGAATTTTATTGATAATGATTTGCAAATTACAATTATAATTACAAGTGTTTGCTCCTTTTTCCTCAAGAAGATATTTGAAATATGAAGTGTTTAGAACTTTTTTTCCATTTTTCTTCTACGAGACTCTCATTCTTCCTTTTATGGGAAATGGTTAGCATGCATTATTCATTTTCTTATCTTAGGCCTTGTTTGAGCCACTTTTTGTAGAATAAGAATGAAAAATATAGTCGTTATTGGGGTCCACACAAGAAATATAAAATTTGAATTTAAATGTTGATGTGATGGATAACGGTCATATTTTTCATTTTAATGAGAAAATAAGGTGGCCCAAACGGGGGCTTATCAGTTACAGTACCGAGTTAAGGAAGTACATCATTGGCATGTTTGGATTGGTTATTGAGCTCAACTATGTCAGGTCATTATGAATTAACTTTACATGTCGTCCCCAACAATTAATGAACTAATTAGGGAATGAAATTAAGGCATTTGATTGGTGGAATTGGTGGGCAATGATTTAAAACCTTTTAAATGTCACTTGCTAATTGATTATTTGTACAATGTATAAGAAATATTCAATCATTATATCCCCTCGAACTTCACCAATAACTAATACGAGCTAATCTCAAATATCCGAGCTTAAATTAGCATGAGCTTAATTCATACAACAAACTATACTTAACGATCTCCAAGGTCGAAAGTCAACAGATTCTGTGGATGGTAAATTCTACAACTGAGAAAATTGGATCGATCGGCCTACCCGCAATTTTGCAAAACTCAAGAAAAGTAGAACGAGGAAAGAGGATCGCAAAAGATATTAAGAGGACACCGATGTGATGTCGATCGAAGATTTTCCAACGATCAAGTCAGTAAAACTTATCAAGAATTATCCAAATGCTAGGTAAAAAGTAAGAAGAAATAACTTAGAGTAGAGTAAATTAGGATTGAGCGTTTGACTAACATGGAATTCATAGGAGTGGGATAATCGTTTAGGCAGGATTGGCGAGGATTCTGCTCGATTTTATGGTTGGTTGGAGCTAAATCTAATTAGATCTATTTGGTTGAGATATCCAAGCTATTTATAGACAACTCATACTTCATCTGGTCAAATCATAGCGTGATTTATCTTGAAGATAAATCATCGGAGGTTTCAAATTGACACATGGGTCTTCGACTGTGCATTCGGAATACGTTCATATCTTCTCTTGTAATGTGATTTTGCTTGATAATAATATTAATCGGAAATCATGTTTGCTAATTTTGGAGAAAATCTAGTTTCCTTCTTGGTCCTTTAAAAGAACTTCTTCCTCAAGAAATTTATGGCTTTGGAGCAATGATAGGAAAATATTGAGAAGATGCACTTTGATGAAAATTACTTCATATATTTGGCTTTAGAGAAATGACATAGTTCTGAAGAACATTTGGGATGCAGTGTTATACGTTACTCTAGTTTAATCGGGTACCAAGGCGTCTTATTAAACAAGGCATAAGCCTCAAAAGAAACAACATGATATTTTAGAATATAAATATAAACAATATATATAAATACAGAAATGATCTAATGATAACATAATTGTTAAGTTATCAAAATATCTTTTGCTACCTATATATACTTGGTAGGATGGTTTTTTTTTAAAAAAATAATGAGATTAGTTAGTCTAGGTTTTTATATA